AAAAAACACAAACAAACAAACAAACAAACAAACAAACAAACAGACTCCAGTTCGAATCCGGATATAATCAGTCAGATGCCCAGAATAACTAAATTACCTGGCGCCGGCCTCAAAATGAGCTCTTTTGCTATAATGGAATGGACATTGAAAAAAAAAAAAAAAAGTCCTTCGGGACATCCGTTAAAATTGGAACCATACAGAGAAAGATTTTATTTTATTATTATTTTTTTTTGGGAAAAAGCAAGGAGTCCATTATCATGATAAAACCATGAGGCCGGGAATCCTCACAAACAACCCGGAAGAAACACATTCTGTCTCGGACCATTACCCAGTAGCGGTTTGTGGGCCTTAACCGAACAACACTTGGCTGAGCCAACAGATACCAGTAATTACTAATTACCATCCTATACCCAGAAAGAAGATTAGCATGGCCCCTGCGCAAGTAAGGATGACACGCATAAATCGAGAAATGGTCCGAAGGGGAATAGGCCCGCGCCGCACTCTGCTGCAGTGCAACACAGGGGCGTGGTCCCACTAGCAAAGAGGATCGGATCGAATGCCTGAATCTGGACGAGTTTATGGAGATGTGCAGGAAATCGAGATTGAACTGCTTTCCTGCATCTGTGCTTAAAACACATCCAGATTCAGGAGCTCGATCCTATCCTTTTTGCTAGAGGGACCTCGGCCCAGAGGTAACGCTGGATGGGTCGACCAGGCATGCCTACCCCTGTGACCCCTCGGAAGCCCAGAAAAACAGAAGAATTAATTTGATATCGGGGTGTCGCCCTACGGACCACGGATCAGATATTAAACCGATCGGAACAGATACAGTGCACTTGATCTTAGCCAAAAAAACGAGAAAGGTATTCAGTGATGATGATATCAAAAGACCGTCGTCCTATTCGGCAAAAAAAAACAAAAAAAAAAAAACAAAAAAAAACAAGCTGTATCTAGACCGCGGGGATGACATCCCACTCAGGAGAAATACTCTCACAGTGCCTAAACAAAGACGTGAGCTCGCATCCAGGGCAGAGGTCCCACTTCATAGCAACAAGGATCGGATTGAATGCCTGAATCTGGATATGTTTTAGACAAAGATGCAGAAAAGCAGTTCTTCAATTCTCGATTTCCTGCACCTGTGCACAAACACGTCCAGATTCAGGCGTTCAATCCAATCCTCGTGGCTAGTGGGACCACGCTCCAGATGAAACTAGTTGAGTAAATAAATGTGTAATAAATAAATGTCTAAGCGCGGTTCTGTGATGATATCTCAAGGTCGTCGCCTTTTTTTTGTTACTGTTTTTTTCTTTTTTCTTTTTTTTCTTTTTTTTTAAAATTGGACCATTTCTCGATAGATTTATGCGTGTCATCCTTGCAAACAGGGGCCATTTTGCTAATCTTGTCTTTCTCTCTGTATGGTTCCAATTTTCAAGGAAGTCCCTAAGGACCATCGCCCTTTTTTGACTAAGTAGGAACAAGTAGGGATTGTGTTTTTTTTTTTGTTTTTTTTTTTGAATTATATGTTACGATCAGTTTATATCTGTTCCGTTGTACGATAGGGCCATAACGGTATGTTAGATTTTTTTTGGTGGGGGGTGCGGAGGGGTCTCATGGGTAGGTTTTGCTTATTACTCGGAACATTTCCACAGTGGTTGCCTCTGCATTGCACTGCAGTGGCGAGCGGGCGGCACCGCCGCTCTCTCCTCCGGGGACGAAAAAGAAAAAAAAAGAAAAAGAAAAAAAAAAGGAACTTCAAAGAGTTTTGTTTTTTAATTATATTATAATGGAAACAATTGTGAGTGGAAATAGGCGACGGACGGACAAAAAAAAAAAAAAAAAAAAAAAAAAAAAAAAAAAAAAAAAAAAAAAAAAAAAAAAAAAAAAAAAAAAGGCGACGGACTGTCTTTATAAAATGCCGAAGAGGTGGAGCTCATTTTCTTCTTCTTTGTTGCTTGTGCGCGTGTGTGTGTGTACTTGGTCATGTTCGCGTGTGGATACACATCTCCAAAAAGAAAAGCACGACTGTGCCACACTGTTTTGTCTGCGTGTGGATATACATACTTTTTTTTTTGCTAAACGGATCTGTACTACTGCAGTGTAACTACTGCAGTGTAGCTCAGCTTTTTTTACTATACGGAGTAAAAAAAGGGGAGTAAAGGGGGGTGGAGGTGGGGGTGGGGGGGTAGAAGAGGCGTGACAATAACCGACTTGTTTTGTTTCTTTCCTCTTTCGTAACGGACTTATAAACATCCCCTACAACAAACGCATTCATGTGCCAGACAGTTTCGTCTGTGAGTGGGTACACGTCTTCACTAAACGAAATTCTGCAGAAAAAAGCGTACCAATGACGACCTTTTCCATCGATTTGTCCCGGACTGCGGCAGGAAAGCCTGTGTGTGTGTGTGTGTGTGT